GCAGCAAGCGGTACCCAAACCCACTTTCACCTCCAGCTCTGAGCCACTTGCTCCCTCCTGGCAATGGAAGAGGCTTTTTCCATCATCCATGCAAAAAGCTTTAAATTCCCTACCAATGTGCTGTTTGAGCTCTGCCATTCACTGCTCTGCATCCATTTGTTTCCCAAATGGCAGAAGCAAGACCCAGCATAAGGTCAGGGAGAGATTTAGGAAAAGTGCTCATTCCCAGCGATGGGATTTGCTGCAGCGAGGTGAGCTGACCTGACCTGGCCCAGCAGTCATCTCTGATCCCACTTCTTCAGTGTAGCCTAGCATAAACCCTGGGAACTGGCTTTTCCTGGGAACTGGCTTTTTCTGAAATGAACACCCGCCTGGGGGACAGGGTGGTGGAGAGGGTGAGAATTTAAAGGTCAGAAAATGTCTGTGGTCCTGGGAAGCTCAGTTCTATGCAGAGAATCTGCTGCAAAAATCCTTTTCAGTGATGGCCCAGCAGCATTTCTGAAGAATGTTTATATCCCAAAGGATTTGCCTTCCCTTCTTCTTGTATTTTAACAGCTTTAAATTTGGCAACGGACCCTTTTTTACAGAAACAGCTGTTGCTTTTGCTCTTCATAAATCTTAAGCAGGCAGCTCCTATATAACGAGCAGTCTCCTCCCAGCCCCCAGCTTTCTTTAGCAGAAAAAAAAAATCAATATAATTTAATACCTTAGCATTTCCAGTGTATTTAAAATGGCTTCAGGTCTCCTTCTAGCCCTGGGCAGAATAGCAGACTTGGTCTGCAGCCCAGCACAGCCCATCTTCACTGTGAGGATTGTGTGAGCAAAGTGCCATCATTCACCCTTCCTGGGAGGGTGAATCCCTGTTTTGCTGCTGCTGGAGCAGGGCTTGGTTGTTCACATCCTCTTCTGCTCCTGACTTTAAGGAAACTCCATTAATGGCCAAACCCTAAAGCTGAAACTAAGTGGCAGGAAGGATATAGGACAAAACATTTTGTTATCAGACCTTGTCAGCTGCAGCACTAAGATGTCTCTGGAGAGACTGGTAAGGTACCACACTTTGATTGAGGGGTCATGCGTCTCTCCAGGGTTTTGCATTATAATTAAGCTAGTTGTAGCAGTGATCCATAGAAAGGGAGCAACCTAATGGGACAGGCTGTACTCTACCAGTCTAGCTAGATGAGAAAGACATAATGGCCCTAAATTCCCCAGGCATCACTTCCAAGGAAGTGGCAAAGCTCTAACTGAAAGTGGGTGAGCCAGGCATGGGGAGCCAAGTGTGATATACCAAGAGCCAGCTCAGAGAGTGTTTTTTGTTGTGTTTCAGTCTCCAGAGGGGCTGGAGGGAAAGTTGTCGAGACTAGGGGCCAGTCTGCAGATAGCATAGAATGGCTGTGGGCCCTGGACCCTGCACTGATGATGGGGGACACGTAGCAGGCCTCCTGGGTAAAAGAGCAAAGCAGCTCAGAAGAAATCCTGTTAAAAACCCTGATCAGGATTTGGTTTTACCCTTGCTGGGCTCAGTTGTTTCTGGGCTTGAGCTAAAAGCCTGAATGTAAGGCTTGCTTTTCCTTAGCTACCACCGTGCCTGTCCTGTGTCATGGGACACCCCTTGTGCTGGGGTTCAAGTGAAAAAGTTGGCAGGCACATGCACCCCCACAGAGCCAGGGAAACAACATCAATGTGGTGTGTGAGCCCTCGCACATTGGGGCTGGGGGGTGAGACTTGGGGCTGGGGGTGCTTCCTGCTAGGCTGGGAAGAGCCAAGATAATGCCTAGTCTCAGCTCCCCTTCCCCCTAACCCCTGTCCCTCAAAGAAGCAGCAGGCAAAGGACCATGCCCAGCATCACACAGCCCATCCCATACTGAGATGGTCTCAGATGCCGCACACTGTGCTAGTGGATGGGAAGCTCCCCATCCCATGGTGCTCACTGAAAGGCAGCAGGCAACTGGAAAGCCCTCCTTCCCTTCAGCAAGAAACAGGTTTGACTATGTGTTGTTAGATGTGGTATTTGCCACCAGAGGTGACAGTGACAGTTGCCACCGGTATAGACACAGTATACAGGAATGGAAAGCACTTTTGGATTATCTGGAAATTCTGTTTTTCTTGTCATCTTGTTTATATTGCAAAATGTGATTAATGAGGGCTAGTAACCAAGGACAAAGCAAAACATGCTTTGCTTTTCTGTGAAAAGGTGTCCCTGTGTTGGCTGCTGGTGTTATTTTTGCTCTATATTGTGGTAACACCAAGGAGTCACAGCCAAGAATCAGGGCATCACTGTGCTAGGCACAGAGCAAGAACAATAAAGACTATCTCTGGCCTTCCTACCTTCCTGAGGCATGCACAATGTCAGTGTCTTAGGCACAACCCATCAGAAAACTATTGTGTGGACTGGCAGGCTGGAGTCATCAGTGCCCATAAATAAGCACTTGATTTGCCTCCGCCATGCCAGGCAGGGTGCGTCCGTCCTGGCAGTGCTGCTAAAGTCCTCTCCACTGGCTGGTGAACATCTTCCTCCTACTTGTTCCTTGATGCTCTCAGGAAATCTGTGTCCCTTTTGCCAATGGCAGCAACAGTCCAGGTCTCAACTCTCTGGAGAAGTTTGCTGCTCTCTTTAGCAATCAGATACACCTTTTCTGCTGAGGCTGAGACCTCATTTGTCCTCCCTGATCTGGGAGTGGGAACCAAGGGCACAGCTACAAACTGGAGTTTACATGGCTTGTGTTATCCTGGCTCTATGTCTAACTGGGAGTGTTGAAGGGAGGGAGCATGGATAAGGTCATGCTAAGAAACTCTCAGGTTTGTATGCTTTGTGCATATGCACTACATTTGCGGTAGTTAAAGGGTATTTAGCCCACAGTGTTGCTTTTATAAACAAGTACTTGGGAACACCAAAAGATCTTATCATCATCCAGAAACAGGCTATCTAGGTGTACAAATATTAAATTAATAAATTGATTAACTGTGGTCACCCTTTAGAGCATGCTAAGTTAATGCAGTTCCAGTGCAGAGCATGCTGGCTTGGTGCAGATCAGTGGTGGGGGGGGAACAGCTCATCTTTTGGAGCAGGTAGATGACCATCACCAGATGACGCAGAAGGGATGAGGATCTTCATCAGGGAGTGCCTCTGCAGGCACAAGTGTTTCTGGGGACGTGGTGAGGGGTGTACGGCACTGGCTTCAGAAGGAGAGTGGCAGGAGGGTCCCTGGACAAGAGGTAGTGCAAGATGTGCAACCACTTACACAACTGTGAATGTGGCTGGGAAGTTAGATGAGGATCTGGTGCTTTTTGGGCTTTGGGAAAATGATAGAAATTTGTCTGTTTTTCCATGTTAAGGTCTTAATGCAGTGCATTGAAATGAATACCATACAATCTCAAAGTTTCTTTTTAAAGTTGTTTTTCACTGCAAATTATCTCAGAACCATGGTTTTCCTTGCATCAGGCTTTGTACATGTGCTGCCTCATAGCCCATAATCCAGGGGCTCTGAGGAGCACTGTCCCAGGCCAGTGTAGTGGTCCTTCTCCCCTCCTTCCCCAACTTTCTAACATGCTTCCTGGGCCTTCTGCAGGGGTAACTCAGTTTCTCATCAAGCTCTCGTGTTCTTCCCTTCTATTGTTAGCAATTAAAAAGCTTCAGTTTCAGAAAAACACCACCCAGGGACATTTGTGTGGTGAGAGTCTTACCCCTGCTGCAAGGAGATGAATGGGCGAGCCTGAGCCTCAGTCTCCATTTTCAGAGCTACAGCCAGGGAGCAGCTTGCTGCTAGGAGGCTAAAAGCCATGCAGACCCCAAACAGAAAGCCCGGTGGTTCCCTACCATTTCTTTTCTCCCCACTTGTCCACATGCCATTTCCTTACAGGCAGTCGTTCCAAAGGCACTTACAGAAACAAAGGAAAGCCACAATCAGAGTGCCTGCTGGCAGCATCCTGTTCCCAGCCCCAGCAGGTCCCGGCCACATCAATGGATGTAAAATAAACAGCAATCCCATATATATGTCCTCTGTGTTCGCAGCCTGTGAGAGCAGTTGAACTCCCAATTAATGAACTATTCCACTTTCACTTTTGGCTTTGCCTTATCTAAGCAATACCCCAACCCAAACAGTCAGAAACCTTCCTAGCAAATACCAGTGCTGGCTACTGGCAGGCTGTGCAAGGAAACCCCACCCCACCACATTTCCACTGCAAGGAAAAGATTTTTTTTACAGCTGTGCTTGAGGAAAGCATTTGTTGAGACACATTTCTCTAGCAGAAACTTATTGCTGTCAACAGCATGAGGGTGCCTTAATGCCTGTGTGTTCTTTGGTATGACTGTGCCTAGGTAGAAACAGCTGAGAGTTTTTTTCCTGTTTGTTTGTTTGTTTGTTTGTTTGTTTTGCCTTGGGGATACAGGGAAGCGGTGGGATTTTTGTGCTAATATCACATAAGCCCAGGAAGGCACGTTGTAGGAGCAATGAGGTAAGGCCTGAATTTTGTGCTAATCGATATGTTAAGTCTCAGGAGTTTGCTTCACATGAACGCATCGTTCCTGCTTCAGTGCCCCTGTCCTGTTGACCAGCATATGCCTTTTTATTGGCAACGGTAGGTGGGGAGCTAGAAATTGGTTGTTTCGTTCCCAGCATGTGGGAGCATCTTCCTCCATCTCTGGGAGTTACTTGCTGTCCTTTTTTGTCAACAGCATTTGTGAGCAGCTGGAGTTCTCTCTGTCCCATCTCTCTTTGCCCAGAGGAAGACCAGCCTCACACAGGTCTGGCCCCTGGCTGCTCTTTCCTCCTGCAGACTCTCCCTTCTTTTCCACTAATTTTTCTTTCTCACTCCGACAAAGGAAGGTGCCTTTCTGCACTCTCACACCCCACACTGCTGCTGATAGCTTTCTCCAACTGCTAGCTGCTCTTGTCAAGCTGGGGCTGCCTTGCAAGTGCCCCAGGGAGACATTTTCGTGTAGCTCCTCCATTCCATCATCCCTGGATTTTAACATTGTCTTTTTTCCTCCATTTCCACCACAGGGACATCCTGAAAAGTGGAGGCACAGCTGTGGATGCTGCCATAGCTGGCTTGATCTGCACCTCGGTGATGAACCCTCAGAGTTCGGGCCTGGGTGGTGGGGTCGTATTTACCATCTATAATGCCAGCACAGGTATGGGCCAGCCCTGGCCTCTCCATGGTGCCCCGTCTCCCTGCAGACACCCAGCTGCCATGGAGAAGCCAGAATCCTTCATGTTCTCTCAGAGCAATTTTTTGAATATAATGCTGCATCCTCTGATCACAAACCATGCTTTTGCTCTTAACCCAAAGCATCTATGACAGGGAGTGCATCTTTTCACAGCAAGAACATGTCGGGGGGCAAGGAGCTTTGGATTTAAAACGAACTGACTTTGCCTCTCCTTCCCCCTCCAAAGCAAACCCAAATTATATTTCGAAGACATAGCTGACAGTGCAGCAAGGTGTGAGCGGTGCTGTCTGAGCTGCCACTGGGCTGCCATGGAGGCAGATGGGAGCAGGGTGAGGTACGTGTGCTGGCAATGAGCACAGCAATATGGGGCTGTCACTGGCTCAGCTGAGCCCTTGGCTTGGGACTTCAGGGGCTCATCCTGCATCAGCAGCTCAGGCAGTGCCTGTCAAGATGGGGGCTGCATCTCACGCTGCCCTCGCTGGTGCGGGTAGGAATCCCCAAAGCAGCGGTGAGAATTCCTGTCCCAGGAGATGCATCTTCCCTTCAGAAATCTAAATCTAGCAATGTTCAGAGCCTGCTGGGAAGCCCTTCTGTGTTTGGCTTAACCCCTAGTGTTGTGTTCCTGCTTTTATGTTTTTAATGTGTTTTTTTTTAACTGCGTTGGCTCCCAAAAGCCCCCAGAGCTTATAGATCTAAATAGTAAAATCAACAATGAACAGAATAACAATACCATCATTTTAAAAACCCTGCCAAGTAGTCTCACAGTGTCACGTGTCTGGAAATGCTTGGGTGTATCTTATGCAATAGCATAATTTGGCAAAACACCTGTATTTTTCTTTTTTCCCTTTTGGCAGAGCCATGTAACTTTGTCTCCTATCAACAGTCCTCTTCTGCTACCTGAATTATCCTGCTACACAGAGCTGCACATGGCCATGCATGGCTCAGGTGCTTGGTGCACTAGGTAGCACTGTGGGCTCCTGCAACACAGCTGGCTCTGTGGACTGTGACAGGAAAAGATAAATACAGGCAGAGAAGGAGGCGAAATAATAGGCTAGACCTGAAATACAAGTGTACGCAAGTGGTTGGGTTTTTTTTTTTTTTCCCTTTCAAGCTTCCTGATACATAGAGGGTCTTTCAGTATCACCGACCTGCTTACAAACGTGATGGACATGTCTCACCATCACTTGGAAAATGGCCCACCAAGAAGCATGAGGCTCATGTTATGTCTCTGACATGTCCCACCTGTAGAGCAAGTGCAGGAACCTGCAAATCAGATGTGAAGCAGCACATCCCAGACCGCATCCCAGGCCCAGGAGCCCTGGACGGGGACCTTAACTGGCTGGAGACAGGCCCTGGCCTTGTCCCTGTACCTTTGTTGCCTCTAGGTAGGCACTGCTCAGTTTGCTCTAAATAAAAGCATGGGAGCAAACGACAGTGTGTGCCGACTGCAGCCTGACCCTGCAGGTGTGCTTGACACATTTGGCAAAAGGCTTCAGGGGAGTTCAGCATGGTGCTGCGGGCTCTGGGCTAGCAGCCTGTGCGGTGCTCACAGCTGGCTAAGTGTGATGTTCACCTGCTTCAGGAAGACAATGTTATGCATTCCCCCCTTCTCCTTTCTAGGAACAGTCGAGGTGATCAATGCCCGCGAGACAGTCCCACGAGTGTTTCCGCACAATTTGTTGTCTGGCTGCGCTGCTGGTTTCCCCATTGGTAAGGACACAGACTGGGCCATGAGGGCTGTGTGCCCTCCTGGCGTGCAGTGCACAAAGATCAGGATGTGGGAATTGAGGACCTTGCTGACTTTATCTGAA